GGAGATCACTCCTGTGTTCTTATTTATGCTTGTAGCTTTCTTAGAAGGCCAACATGGTAGACTCATTTTTACCCCTTCCTTTTATATAATTCAGAGTCTCTAGTCTCCAAATTAATGGAGTTTTTGGTGTATTGGGGCAACCGAAGGAAATGTATCCATTTACTTACATTTTCTGATAATGATATTTGAGTAATATGTCTATTAGCATTTCCATAAAGCCCAGGAGGGGCTTTGGCTTGGGAGGAGACTTGGCTCTGAAGAAGTTGACAGTTCTGTGAGTTTCATCAGCCTGCTTCACTCCATTTTCTAATTATTTTACAGTTTCTGGTAGCCTTTTCAAGATGGCTAAATTTAAATTTGCTCCAACGTTTTAAGCAGTCTCTTCCTCTCAATGTGGCTTGGCAATTATTTCTGAGGGAAATGATTAAAAGCGCAGCCTTTCATCAGGGGGGAGAACAGAATGGCATGCAGAGCTCAGATGAGAGGTGCTTTCTTTTTTTTTTTTTTTTTAAAGATTTTATTTATTTATTTGACAGAGAGAGACACAGCGACAGAGGGAACACAAGCAGGGGGAGTGGGGGAGGGAGAAGCAGGCTTCCCGCGGAGCAGGGAGCCCGATGTGGGGCTCGATCTCAGGACCCCGGGATCATGACCTGAGCCGAAGGCAGACACTTAACGACTGAGCCAGCCAGGCGCCCCGGGAGGTGCTTTCTTAAGAAGATTCACGTAATTGTGTGAGAGCGGTCGAATTTCTGAAGATTGCGTGAAGATGGCAGAGTCCATCATTTCTGAAGATGTAGGAAGTGATTCACAGAGGGACACTGTGCCGTAAACAGGATCACATTCTGTGCTTTAACATTTGGCCAGGGCGCCACTTACTTTTTGAAAAGGGCCATTCATTTAAAAGCGAGTTAGCATCTTTCTTCAATAATCCAAATTAGTTTAACACACTTCAGTGACATTATTTGGGCATTTTTCACAATTATTAAAGATAACTCACTTTTCTCTGTGGACTGTAGGTCAAAAGCAAATTAAATCAATGGATTTTCTCCCTTCGTGCTCTCAGATGAGTCAGAAAGTATTGGTCAAATGCGCACATGGCCTTTCCGTTAAGCTTCAAAACCCAAACAACCTGCTGAGAAGACATTTGGCCAATCTGATTATTTTCTCTATACTAATTGGTTTTCCTTCTTCATTGAATTGAATGAATTGCCTGGTTGTTTTGTCACTGTGGGGACCCAGCTTAATCCACTTAGAGTGAGGTGCTTGTGCTTGGTAAGCCAGGGGGCTATAGAAACGTTTATCGTCATTATTATCTTTTGGTGGTTTTTCTTGGGGGGTGGGAATGAAGATATAGCTTGAATCCATCCATTTTCTCTGTTTTGATGTCCACTGCCTTTGCTTGCCGTCTCATCTGGCCACTAAATTGCCCTGGTAAGCCCCAGGGTCCAGACCGCAGTCATCTATGCATTTTGAGAAGATGGGGACCCTCTGCTGGAAACAATGGTTGCTTCACAGTGAATGTGGAAAAATCTAAGCCCCTTTCCGCAGCTGTCTGCACCCGATAAGATCTGAGCCCCTGCTGGCTTCCCCACCTTCATTTTGTGTCCTGCCCCCTTGCTCACCACCCTTCCTCCATCATGGCCTCCCACCGGGTTCCTCAACACCCCCAGTCTCCTTCCCGCCGCAGGGTCTCTGCATCTGTTCCTCCTTCACCTGGAATGGCCTTCCTGGGCTGGTTCTTTCTCACCCTGAAAGTTTCATTTCAGATTTTGCTTCTTCAGCCTTCCTCGGTATGGGCAGCAGTCACGTGCCTACCACTCCATGTCATGTGCCCCATATCGACTGCGACTCTCTGGAAGAGCCCCTGTTTACAGTGACGGGAACATGCTCCCCTCCCTGCTTACCATCAGTCTCTGTCTGCAGCCCCCTGCTGCTATTTACACTCTGTGATAGCCCCACCCTGTGCTCATTTCCTTCACGACCCCTGGCACAACTGGAAATGATCTTATCAGTTGACTGGTCTTCATCTCTCTTCCCTACTGAAGCAGAGGCTCTCGAGGGCCAGGGCACCTCCATCTTGTTCTCCAGTGTTTGGGGGGCCAGCAGCATGGCACCTGCCTCACTGAACGGGCCCAAGTCATGTTTGTCGAGCAAATGAATGGAATACCAAAAGCCTGGTTCTGTGTCGATACGCAGGTGCTCAAGTGAAAATTGTATTAAAGGTAAAATGACTACTTCCTTTCCCAAACCGTTGCACTTTCCTATAGATTTTCAGAGTTGATTTGCTCAGGATTAATGCACTTGTTAATCTAGTCACCTACCCCTCGAGATATAAGAAGTAGGTCTGTACTTTCCAGGCAGGAGATTGGAGGACTCCTCACACAGAAGCTGTCTAGTCCTTCTAGTCCTCGTGGAAGACCCAGAGAATTATTTCAGGGCTTCCCACTTAAACATGGCAAGCAGATAACCCCGCAGGGTGGCCCCAGTTGACAAAGTGCACATGTAAAGAGCTCCCAGTCTGTTGTGTAGTGCCTGTTTCCTAGACGTGGGTGGATATTTAAGATTGCTGGATACCGCAGGACAGTCTTTAATATGAAAGGGAAAGATGAAAACAAATGAGAACAAAAGGAACTTGGAAGAAAGACCATGTAGGGAGAGGCAAACTTAAGCAAGAACAACAGTGGCCACAAACCGTTATTAATATTGCCAGAGACACAATGGAAGATACTGGAGCCATGAAGTAACAACAGGGTGCTCTAAAGAGGAAAATAATAATGGGCTTTTAGAAATTAAAGACATGATAGCAGAAATAGGAAATTATGAGTTGGAATAGAAAATCCCAAAAATAAAATAAAAAGACAAGTAGGAGATAGGAGAGAAAAGGTAAAAAAAAAGAGGATTAGACAAGGAAGCCCAATAACTTACCAAGAGCAGTTCTAGAAAGAGAGAAAAGATGAAACAGGAGAATAAATATCAAAGAAACAGCACCATGTTTTCCCAAAACCGAAGGACATGATTCAGATTGAAAGGGCACATTGAATGCCCAGACAATGAATGAAAATAAACCCAGGACCATGGAGACACTGAACAAAGAAGAGTCTAGGAGTTTCCAGAGAGACAAAATACAAAAAGGTTTTGCCCAAAGGATCATGAATCATAAATCATGTTGGCTCCAGACTTCCTAACAACTAGAACTCAACAGAGCCGTGTCTTTGGTTCTGAAAGCAAATGATTTCTAAATCAGAAAGTTATACCCTAGCAAGTGGCAGACTGAAGTCTAAACAATTTTATTTCACACACCCGTTCTCACGAAGCTGCGGGAAGCTTTGCATTAGGAAAGCAAGGAAACAGAAGTGGGGGGCTCCAGGACCAAGGAGGTGAGGAGAATCGCCACAGTGGGGTGAAGGGGATCCGGGGGCACAGCCACACAGTGGGCCCAGGGAGCAGCGGGCCACTGGGGGCAGGTCAGAGAATTTGAAGAGTGATCCTTCTAAGGAAAGGAAACAAAACCTCAGACAATTGAGAAGGAGGTGGGAGGCTAGTTTTAGTGCTAGGTCTACGGACAACCAAGCAAAATTTAAAAACGAGGTAGTTGTTGGGGCGCCTGGGTGGCTCAGTCGGTTAAGCGACTGCCTTCGGCTCAGGTCATGATTCCTGGAGTCCCGGGATCGAGTCCCGCGTCGGGCTCCCTGCTCCTTGGGAGCCTGCTTCTCCCTCTGCCTCTCTCTCTCTCTCTCTCTCTCTGTGTCTCTCATGAATAAATAAAATAAAATCTTTAAAAAAAAAAATTAAAAAAAAATAAAAACGAGGTAGTTGTTAACTCCAGGGAAAACAGTGTTGGCCAGAAAGACCGTGTAGTCACAGCACATTACATGGCTCAGCAGTGAGAGACATGGTCCTAAACATGTAAACACTATTCTCCTAAACAAAATTATGACATCATAGTTACAGAACTGTTGTGAGGAGATGGGGTGGAAAGTGTGCATACGTGGTGGGTCGGGCGGGGAATGAAGGTTCTGGATCCAGGGGTGCTGGAGAAAGAGGTGAATGCCCCTCTCTCCTCATGAGAAGTTACAGGCTCTCCTCCAAACTGAAAAAAAAAAAAAAAAAAAAGATCAAGAAGTAGTGCTGTAAGCATGTTATTAAAAGTGAAGGAGATAAATATCAAAAGAATCCAAAGCGGGAAAAGGCGAGTGGGTTGGCAAGCATTGCTATTTTTCTTAATAAGTAGAAAGATTCGACTTTTTGAAACTCTGTGCATATGTAACTTTAATCAAAATGAAAGCAAATTTGAAAGGGGATCTAATGCTTTTCTCTGGTGGCACAGCCATGCTAGAATTTTTTCTGATTTCATTTCATGATGTAATCCATCCTCTCTGCAATTCCATGGGCCTTCTGACCCGTATCCCAGGCCACTGTGACAAAAGGAGAGCGAGTATGGGTGAGGCAGGAGGGGAAGCCGCTGCTCCCTTGAGAGGGTGCTGCTCTTTGGTGGATGCTGTCAAGGTTCCCTCTGTGGCGCCCCCTCCCCTCCCAGATCACAACCATAACCACCACCAAACAACAGCAACACCAAAACCAACCTGGCTTCCTGCTCCAATGGAGACAAAACCTCATTTCCATAGAGACGGAAATGTCCACCCTTGACCCTGGTTGAATGGCCAGAGAATTCACGCTAACCTGAAATGAACCTAACCTGGCCTAAACGTGCCAGGAAGATGGCTCTGATGAAAAATAGCCACGTGACATATTTTTAAAAAAATGAATGTGATTAGGGATTTTTCTGCCTTGGGAATTGGTTTTACCATTTCTTAGCGGAAGTGAAGATGTTTTATTGAGCTGTGTGAAGTGGGTTCAAGGTAAGCGGGGTTCCCATACACATTGTGGGAGACGCGGGTTAATGAGCCCCAAGCTGTGGAGGAAGACAAAGTCCTAGGGAACTCCCATTTGCTGATGTTATCACTTCCGGTGTGTGTAAGCGTGCCTCCCCGTTTTAGGTCTGAATCTGCAAGAGGAACCGTCTCGTGCCTCTTCAGAATCACCTGTTGGTTGTGGGCACAGAGAGAAGGAAGAGGATGATGCCTCCAGACAGACTTCGGGAAGCTTCTCTCCCAACACAAGTTCAAGGGCCGGGAGTGGAATAGACCAAGTAATCGTGAAGGTGGGGACCAGGGTTCTGAGCCGTCTCTGTCCGTGGGTTGTCTAGATTAATGGCTCTCTTTTGCTTGTTGTTGGTGTCCCAGGTGGCAGAACTCGCCCCACCACCCAGCACGTAAAGCCCAGTAGGTACACAAACACCTCCAGACATCGTGTGCTGAAAGAATGGGGGTGATTACTAAAAATCCTAAATACGCTTTTAATTCATACCTGAGTAGGATAGAGATGCTCTCATGCTGCAGACATCACTGTGACATGACTTCACTGCCAGGCAGGACTGGGGGGAGAGCGGGGGCGGGGCGCGTCAGTTGAAAAGCACAAAAATGCTAATCCAGACCACACTTCAAAAAGTGCTCCTCTGGAAAAACTTAAGTTCGAGGTAACTATAAAGTAGCCCATCTGTCTACCTCATGAGCAGTGGTAATTTAACACTGGACACTCAGAACTGGGTGGATAATTGAGTGATTGGGTTTTTCACAAAGCCAGGTAAAAACACATAGCAATCTCAGCAACCTCTTTTGTGGCAACAAGTTTTCCTCGAGTTAATGCACCAATTAGTTATTAATGGGAACTGATTGAGGGCATCCTGTTGAAGTTCATGCTTGGTAAAGAATCATTAAGAACTCAAGACCTAGTTTTACTGAGGACCACGTTTCTGACCACAAGTTTTTTTTTTATTTGTACCAATTAACCTTTCTTCCCCCATGTGTTTTCCTTTGCACTTTTTTGCAGGTAATCTCTCCAGCTGCCGGTGGGCGCGGTGACCGCCATCGTCGGAACACTGCTGCCGGGTCAGGACAGTCTGAGTGGCCGGGCTCCTGCATGGCCGTGGCTACCGACAGCCTTCTGTCTCCAGGCAGAAGTCTCAGCCCGGGATTGCTGGAGACCCGGCCGTTGCCCTCCCAGGAGCAAGTCTCAGTAGATATGAAGCCATACATTTCCTCCAATGCTCAGGAGCCTTCTTCCTTTGAGTCCAAAGGAGCCTCTCCCTGCCAGGATGTTGCTCCTTCTGTGGCTGCCATTTGTGCTGTGGGGGAGAGAGCAGGTCACACAACCCTGGGAATTCACGGTGCGGAGCCGCAAGACCACAGAGCTGCAGGGGAGGCTCTGACACAAAGCTCCCCAGACAGAAAAGCTAAAGCAGAGGGCATGTCACCACCAGTCCTGCCAGGGAGACCTTCATCTGAGCAAAGAATTTCAGGTTTGGTTTTGTTGGGGTCAACTGGAAAAACTCATCTTGAAATACCAGCATCAGGACCAGGCTCAGCTAGTTCATACCAAGAGGAAGGGGAACACAAGATGTTTTTTCCTACTGGGGGACAGGAGGGGCGTGGAGAGATGGTAGTGCCCTGCCCTCCTTTAGGAAATGAGAGTGGGAAATGTCGAGACTCTGGATTAACTGCTCTAAAAGATCGTGGGGTTCTTTCTAAGCCAGGGCAGCCCAGAGAATCCCCTGAATCCCCTTCAAAATCTGTCAAAAGGAGGGGTCTGGAAGGACTGAGAAAGCAGACTCGAGTGGAGGTCAGTGACACCAGCAGTGACGATGAAGACCGGTTAGTGATAGAGATGTGAAGCTTCTGAGCCTGCGGTTGGAGACCAGATGCTGGCAGGCTGGCAGGCAGCTGAACTCTCTTTCACCAAGCACCTACCTATGAGGAAAGCCATCTGGGGATCTTTCCAAGGCATCCCCAGCGAACTCCAGCCCCTATTCCCCAGACCCCCCTGCGGTATACCAGGTGCCAGGCGGGCAAAGGCAGAAACGGAGCCCAGTCTGAGAATGCTTGGCGCACAGTGATTGCACTCACCTTCCACCCATGTCTTCTACATCGGCCCCCGCTGCCTCCTCTGTCATTGGCATTGCCCAGGACAGCCACCGTCGATGTAGTTGTGTGCAAGCGAACCCGCAGTGTCAAGTCAACCGGCTTCCTCCATCAGTAAGCTGAGGGTTTGCTTCAAAGGTGGTAAGCACACTTGGGCAATTGGGGTAGCTTGCAGAGGAGATGGGGCATCAAGATACATCTGTTCATTCTGGAAACCAAATCCAGATTCATTAAAAACTGCAGTTTGGTTAGAATAACTTGCGTCCTTAGTGGAAGTTGTAAATATACTTCAGAATGCCTATGATCTAGTAAAATGCTGATTATCTTTAAATGTTACACCAGTGGTCAGTGCTTACGGATGACCCAACAACACAAGCATGTACTGCTCTTGGGCCCCGTGCCTTTTCTCTTGAGACCTCTGAAACCCTTGGTTTTTTTAGCTCTTGCAAAGGAACGCTGTGTTAAAAGTTAATAGAACAGTCTCTGTAATGAGTCATTTTTTGAGGGGGAAAAATTCACTTATTTTTCTCTGATTCTTTCTGTCATATTGTGCTCTGAGCAATTTCAATTAGAGGGTTACATTTTAGTAATCTCTACAGCTTAAATTGATGCCTGCTCATCGTGACGGGAGCCTTTTAGATTTCCTCCAGAAGCTTCAAGGATACAAAACTAATTGGAGTTTTGACGCTGTTTTACATCTCAGTAATTTTATTTTGGGGGCTTGGTGTTACTTTGCTGTCAAATTAAATCAGCCTCTGTATTGTGCAAGTCAGAACAGTACAGATAAAATTCCCCCGTATTCCAAGCCAGTGCGCCCCTGTGCAGAAGAAAATAGCTGATCGACGTCAGCCAACTCAGTGAGCGAAGCCTCAGATTTACTGCGTTCTTCTCCTTCTCCTTAAATGGGAGAGGAAAAACTTAGAGAGATTTACACTGCTGCATTTCGATAAAATTTTATACTTGCTTTTGGTAGATTTTGTACAATTTGAAATTTATAGCCGAGCTCTTTTGGCTTAGCTTTTGACGTGATGATGTTCATATGACATCTTGTACCTTCAGAAGCAGCAGCAATGCACAGCATCTCACACACATGAACACACTTAACGTGTCCTTGCCTGGGACTAAGGATGGGCAAGTTTCAGGTATCGTCATGTGAGTTTTCCAATTTTGGAGTTATTCACAGGGAACTTCAATGCAAGACCAGCTTCCCCTGGTGACTTAGCATATATGAGATGTGCTCATAAATATTCAAGTGATTTCAAGCCCAGCCAAATAAAACATAAGGAGGGAGGTAAAAGGATGATAGGTATTCACTTTGTGTACTTTTGTTTTCATTGTGTACTTTTTTAAACCAAACAAAAGTGATGTGGTGATTATCTACCTTTGAATGACCCATGCCCCTGTAATGAGAGAGGAGATCTAGGAAAGTGGCTTAGTCTTGGAGGAAGAGTGAAGTCCTGACTGTGTCCTTACTGAGCTGGGAAATCTTGGTAAGACACATGCCCTCTACACCTCAGTTTCTCCAGCTGAGAATCAGAGTTGGACTAGATGAACTGGATGCATCTCCAGGCTCTAATCCTTGTCAGATGAGCTCCCTGTCCTTTACCTGAGGAGGTTTGGGGGCTCTGAGGTGGCCCCCATGGGGAGGGGCCCCCCACAGAAGACATTTCGGGGGAACCATGGAGAACTGAAGCATGAACATCTTCAGCCAAGTATTGCCATGAAGAACGTGAGCTCAGAGAAGCTCTGTATGATTTTTTTTTTCTTCAGAGTTCCAGATTTTGGGGGTACAGTCATCCAGTTTATACATTTGGCTCATAATTCAAAAATTGAAAGCAAAACCAGAACACTACCGTGTGAGGTGAAGACAACATGTCTATGGGCTGAATTGACTACTTTGTCTGGGGATGCACTGGTTAGGGGAAGAAAACTATCTTCCAGATACTTCTTTCCTGGTGGCTACTAAGCTGTCAGCAGGATCACTGATCTAAATCAGTAAGTCACAGCTCCAAATAGCACTGACCTCCAGATGGTGGTGGAAGTTCTGTCCTTCTAAGAGCCACCACTGCTGGCTCCCACATCCCAACCTGGATCCAATATGGTGGAACATTGATTCCATCTCTTTGACTCCCTGTGTCTCTTACCAAGGCAAGCAGGTTGCCAAGCCATCCTGTCAGCTGGTCATTTAGCAACGGGTAGCAATGTTTACAAGGGTACCTTACTTTATATCAGCATGAATTTGTGAAAAGCTATATTTTGGTGGATTTTTAAAAAAACAAAGTATTTTGAGTGACTCTAGGGGAGTTGGCTATTGGAAATCATCCTAAGGTATAATTTGTTTTTTTTATGAAGAATCCTTTTATAAAGCAACAAATACTCTCTGATTTTATAAATCTTAATTTTCCTGTGGGGCTTCTTAAAGAGAAATGCAGTCCCAGGGCTATGTTTATCAGCAATCTATAACCCAGTTTGGGTTATTGAAAATGAAATTTCAATATTATCAATTGATAATTGCTGCAGCTTTTACTCTTCAGGTGTGCACTGTGTAGTGGTTAAGGGAAAACAGATTTATTTCGGAACAAGACAAACTGGAGTTTACCGATTAGGGATTCCTCCCTCTCCTTAGGGCTGTTAATTTTATTGTACCTTCGGGTAAGGGTCTTAACCAATTGGTGCTCAGCTTCTTCCACTCTAGGGATGCTGGCATAGACTAAAGTCAAGTGCACTTTGAATTCTTTGCTGTTCTCTCAGGGCAAGGTATACAAGTGCCATGACCAGTAATGCTCAAGGCTCACCACCTGGTTTATGTCTCCAGCTGTACCTACACCTGGCCAGACATCCCTTGTTAAAGATGCGTGGAGGAAAGAGGTTTCACCTCCCCCCTTGGCAACCTATACTGTTAAGTGACTTTTGAAGTCACATGGTGTTTAACAGACAACCTGGATCCTGTTTGTTGTAAGGCATGATGGAGGACAACTCATCCTTTCTGTTATGTATAACCTTGGAGGTTCTGGATGAACTGAATATCCCTTTGATTCACAACCCAAGAGAACCTATGGTTTATTTGCTGAGAGATCAAAAAAAGATGGGTGAGGGGTGCCTCTGGACTCTAATCAAACCCTGCCAATAGCATGATGGGTAACTGAGGGCAAGTTACACTTTCTCTTCCTAAAATCCCTCTTCTAAGGCTCAGATGGAAAGAGTAGCCTTGCAAGAATGCATTGTGACCACAGTTCTTGGCATGAAAGATGAACGAGTTGCAGCCTTATGCCAAAAAGTATTTCCTTGCATTTACATTCATTACTTAGAATGATCACATTATTCATTTTTTCCCCAGCATAGAAATTTGCATTTTGCACAAAATTTGCCTGGTGCAGCAGATTTTTATAGTTAGAGAAACTGTCATCATTATTGAAACGTGCTGCTACTCAGCTCCCCAGACATAATTTAATATGGTGAGGAGAAAATGGTCTGCCCGGCTCCATGGCGATCAGATTTCCACAGCTGCAGCAAAGAGAACCTGTGTATTTTTCCTCACTTCAGTTGTGATTCCCAGAGTTCTCTTTGGCTTTTGAAACACTACATCTCTTGATATTTAAGCACAATTTCATGTCTTTATCTTTCAGAACTCATTAAATATAGGTGTCAGGACCCAGAAAATCTTGTGTGCTAGATTTGCACCTGTATAGTTCTCTTCACCCATGCTTTTATACTTATGTGGGCACATACATAATTTGACGTGAAGAAGTCTAGGAACCTTTGAGCATATTGCTTCACCACTGGAAGAAAAGGAGCCAGGACAGTAGTGCATCTCTGTCACTTGGAGCCCTAGAGGATGACTCAACATCTATACGCCGCCGACTGTTCAGAACTTACTGCTCTCTTGATTGTTCATGATCAGGAAAGCTATTGGCCTCTTGGTTGTTGGTTGAAATTTATCTCCTTCTTTATATGGTTAAATTATTTTGTTTTGGTAAAAATAAAACTGAAAAGAAAAATGTCTTGTGTGATTTGTTAACATTTTAACTAAAACGATCACAGGCAGTATCCTGTATGAATACGATACCTGACCATTCCCAAGTAGTGAACCCGACTCCCGTCTGCCATATTGATAGCCCATTCCACTCAACAAAAAGATTGGGTAATGGCAGATTACCACATTTTCTTGTGCTGTTTCCATTCCCCACGTGTCTCACTTGTCATTGTCTGCCGTATTTTAGACTTCTTAACTTAAAAATGTGTTTTTAAATTCTTAAATGTAGCTGAGTTTTGAAGCCACATGAGGGCACTATCCACAGTGCAATAATCTAAAACTTTTCCCCTTAGAATTGGTGCCTCTTGGATACTTAATATTATTCATCAACAGAAAAAACATTCTTAATTCGAAACAGTGCCTCCTTATGAAGATAGTTCACGTGTTCTTCATGAGAATAAGCAGAGTCCTTTTACATACCAATACAATACGAGTCTTCTACATCTATACCTCTTGAAGGCACTTGAAGTCAATGGAGACACAATGCATTGGGAGAAAAAGTACGAGGGGAAATACGTAAGGCACAGACATACTTACTGATGGGTCTGAGATGTGTTTTTGCTAACCCGTCAAACTCTAACAGTAATAAATTAACCCATTACTTCCAAACTTCAGTCATTTGAAAATCATCCTAAGGCTTTTTGCCATATATGTGCACATATGGGTGTATTATTTACTTAATACTTCTGTTTAACTCATCTTGTTTTCCACATGCTTTTATTTAAGAAAATTTTTATTATTGAAATATAGTTGACATGCAATGTTTTATTAGTTTTAGGTATACAACATAGTGATTAAACAGTTTTAAACAATTCTTGATGTTAAGTGTAGTCATCATCTGTCGCCATACAACATTATAATAATACTATTGACTGTATCCCCTATGCTGTACTTTTTAGCTCTGTGACTTACTCTTTTATAACTGGAAGTTTATACCTCCCGATCCCCTTATTTCTCCCTCCCCCTACCCACTTCCCCTCTGGCAACCACCAGTTTGTTCTCTGCATTTTAGAGTATCTGTTTTTGCTTCTTAGATTCTGTATGTAAGTGAAATCATATGGTGTTTGTCTTTCCTTGTCTGACTTATTTCACTTAGCATTATATCCTCTAGGTCCATCCATGTTGTCTCAGATGGCAAGATTTCATTCTTTTTTTATGGCTGAGTAATATTCCACTGTGTATATATACTACATCTTTATCATCCCTGTCTTAAAGAAGTGATTATTGCCCTAAATAATGATATCTGTGAAATCTCAACCTGAATGTGATAGTTTTGTTTATTTTCTGATCCGCAGTAAACTAAACTGTTAAAAATCATTCATCCATGTACCAGTTAAATATCATCTTTACACTACCAGTGGTAAATCCCTCACACTTGCAGAAGCATTGAGTGAATCTGAAAGGTACATGCATTGTTAGTTTCTTTAATTTTTCTAGTTCCTGATAAGCACAGCTCTCTCCCCATTTTTTCTCCAAGCCAAAAGAACTGGTGACCAGAAGTAGAATTGTAGGTTTATCAGGTAAGTTTCACCAGTCAAACATCATAGGTGAGTAATTAACATTCCAAGTCAAAGGATTATCACATCCTTCAGTCGCAAAGGATAGTCACATAATGTCTTGTGATACAAGCACATTTTTTGTTGCTTTGGTGTTTGGTTGGTGGGTTGGTTGATCGAGTTGGTTGGCTGGTGAGTACCAGGTGATATAGAGGAAAGCACAGTTAAGGATTCGTGCCCAACCGCAAGGACTATCATCAATTCTGCTTCTGCTGAAGGACCTGCTTCCATACTTTTGGATTTGAAGCGAATGGATTTGGCTGCACCAAGAACCATGGAGAGCAGCTTTCCAGTCTGCTGCTTGGTGACAGCCTGTTGATCTTCAGGCTGTGAATGCAGAAGGATTTGCTCTGTGGCATCTAGGACCCTTGTCTCCAGCTGTGACAGACATCTGCTTTCAGTCTCCCTCCCAGAGGCAAGTTCAACACCCTTTATGATTGAGCATTTGGTAATTTTTGCCCAGAAGTAAGTGAATTGTTTTTCTGTGTAAATGCATGAGTGAATGGATTCCTATAAGAAATTAGTGGTTTTGTACATGTAGCATCTGGGGCAGAGTGACCCAGTCTTGTCTCTGGCCACAGTGGAAATCTGGTTGTCTTCTGTGTGTACGTAGTGTGAAATGGGATATAATTCAGTAGAAATGAGGCCTCAACTCCCTTATAAATGAAAGGCTGGCTATCCAGGCTTGTTTTTTCTATATGCTAGTGTTCCAGTCAGACACGTTTGCTCTACGGATTCCTGCACACATGTAGAGGCCATACATTGAGGACCTATGCAAAAAGTCCTCTTCTTGTTCGAGAACTGAGTGGAGCGGGGCCAGTGAGCTAGGAAATGAGATGGCCACATATATAGTCCAGAAGGGATCTCCTTGGAGCTGGGCCCATAGTGTCTTCATCTGGGTGTTCTCAGCAGCTGGAACAGTGTCTGGCTCCCAGCAGGTATTAATGCACATTTGTTAAGTAAGCGGTTGAAGTGGCTCACTGCTAGTTAAGGAGAGGAAAGAAAGACTCTAAGGTGAATGATTTGGCCCAGCCCTGTTCCTTATTATCAGAGATGAGCAAAAGCATATAGTGAGTTTCTGTCCACCAATTTCAGAATGTATCAACACTTTCCCATTGTCTCCTCCCTCCTGTTTGTTCAACCAATATTTACTGAGTGTTAAGTATGTAGTAGGCATATGAGGATACAGGATTGAAAAAGGATCCATGGAGCTTTTATTTGGGAGGAAGGAGTGTCCATTCATTAACCAACCAGACAGACAAATATGTAAAACGTATAATATCAGATGGTGCTAAGGGGGTATTAGAGAGTATCTATCTCACCCTAATTCAAAACGTCTAATGCAAATAAACATTTTTCTCTTACTGTCCTCAGTAAAGCAGGAGAAATCATCCTCTGCATTAAGATCTATCCCACTTTGTGCCAACCACCCCAGTTCTTCTCAGACGAAGCAGAGAATATTGCAGAGTGATCTCGTGTCTTGTCCTTATAAGTTTCCTTACTTTCTTGGTTGCTTCAGTAAGTGTTAGTGGCATATCCTGACCCAAGCATGGTGACTTCATGCTGATTTATAGGTACCCCAGCACTTAGGGGTGAATGCCTCTTGGACCCCGCAG